TAGCTTCTGATAGAAAATAGATGGTGAAATGCTAGGATTTGAAATGCCTGACAGCATGACATCACACTGTCACTTAACATTTATGGACTCACCCATCTTGACTTGTGGCGGGGAAGGCTGTTGTTGGTTTAGTCTCAAATAGCAGAGAACTTCTCTGCCTAGTAGAAGCTAACCATTAGCATTAGCAACTCCACCACACAGCAAAACTCCTCCAAGCTTGTGTTGTTTGTGGAGATAAAACATCAATGTTGTAAAGTAAACAAAGTCAGCGGTACAGTTACATTGCTGGTAGCCAATCAGAAGTGAGATGTCCAAATATCAGGAGGTAATACACCAAATCTTGCCATCTGAAGCTCTGCTCTGATCTGGCTATCTTCTAGATCCTGAAAGAGGAACACCAGGGCTTTTTGTATCCAGAGTACAACTCACAAGGCATTCACTCCTACTAGAGACCACTGCTAATGTATTGATTAAACAACTAAACCACAATTTTAATTAAAAGTTGAAGTATCCAATTTTGACTAAGGTAAAACTGTTGAAGCATGCACTTTCAAATGTACTTAAAGTAAAAAATTCTAAATATTCAACTAACATTTAAATATGTGTTGTGTGTTCAAATGAAAGTACTATTAGGCCCATTCTCAATACTCGCACTGTGCCCTGCGGTCTTCAGCAAAGTGCACTTGGAGAAAGTGTGCAGTAGGGTTCGAGTGCGTAGTACACAAGATTGCAAATAATTGCAGAATTGAGACAGGGAGCATTGCGTCATTGATCGCAACGCATGCCGGGAGGCTGGTCGCAGTGATACTTTTTTCATAAACCTTTATTAACAACTTTCAAACAAACAACAAAGCAATTATTTAAAATAACTAACTTCATTGCTGCTTTGTCTAAAACATTCAGAGCATCAACTAATCGTCCTAAAATGAACAAATTTTATTAGGAAATACATATTTTCAGAGAAGGAAATTGAGCCTTTTCTCCCACAGCAATGACGTATGGGTAATCCCCTTATCCGAGGTCCGCATCGCTGCAGACTTGGGTGAAGTGCAGATTAAGGGTGCAATGGGGGCGTGGTCAACTTCCACACCTGAGAATCGGGACACCTTACGCACTCGCACCCCTAGCCGGGAACGCACAATTGAAGGGCACGTGGGTGCAAGTGCAAGTATTGAGATTGGACCTTAAAGTACCTTTGGAACTGCAGTCCAGTTTGGACAGGGGAGTGTGATGCCTGTATCCATCAGTCTTAGGGTGAGGTGGGGGTCTGACCAAATACTTTATAGAAAATGCAGTAGAGTAGAAAGTACAGATAATCACTTAAAAATGTAGTGGAGTAAAAGTTAGAAAATAATTAAGCCTCAAGAAAATGACTTACAGTGCAAATGAAGAAAAAATGTACTGAAGTACACCAATGACGTACTTGTACTTGATAACATTCCACCACTACATGTTGGTTACACCTCTAACTACAAATGAAATCTGCGAAGGCTAAATCCTAATGTGAAACTGACGGGAAACATTCAGCACTACTTACTGTTTGCATAATCAATGCATTAAGACACCTGGGCAACAACAGGCACCCTTCAGTGTTAAAGTGCTTTTGGAGGAGAGTGCATATGAAGTAAAATGCAGTCTTTCAGATAATAATCATTTTGACTTTTTGAGTTTCTATTAAATTTTGCAGAACTTTAATCTTAACACTCAAACATGACCACTGAGTTATTGGACCTTTGGTTCACTGACACATTTAAAAGTTTAGTCGTTACATTATGCCTGTCCTGACCCCCAGAAAGCATTCTGCTCAAATGAATGCTCGTGGCTTGTTGACATGAGTTAACAACAAGAATATCAAATGAGCTGGATTGAATAGGGTCTCAGGCTGATTGGCAGCTGAATAGTTAAAATTCAGCTGGCTGTGTAGTTTACTGGAGGGCTATGGCTGATTTCATTTGCATGAGGATGAAAACTGATTTGAAATAATGTGATAAAGGTGTAAAGAACACGCTGTTAAGTCTAGAAGGTGAGCCTGGAGGCGCACCACGCAATCAGTGAAGCACAAAGTCTTATTATCACCAAGAATGAAAATGTAATGTTTGACATATCAAATGGGAGGAGGTCCAGGGCAGCTCCAGCTACCAAACAAAAAGAGTCTCTGTCAGGCCTGAGGAGCTGATGTGATCATGATTATTATGTCATGAAAAAGTCAAACCAGCGGGGGGAGCTGTTCAGAGAGTCAAAGTCTTTATTTGAGTGATGAAACAGCAGCGTTTGGGTTTATCACTTGTTTCCAACAAGGACACCCTTCAGTTTCTGCTTCTCCCTAAAGCAAAACACACACACACGCTGACAGAACACACAGCAGCTTTTGTTTCAGCTGTCGTGTTATTGCTCCATTTGGCTGCAAAAGATGCTGTCAGCTTTTCTACACAAACAGCGGGCTCCTACTTGATTTCAAACTTCCATAAAACACAATTCTTCCTCCTTTATCCCTGTCCTGAAACAATGCACTACATCTGGGAGATTATTTAAAACGACTTGAGCTGAAACTTAACAGACTTAATCCTGCCTCCTGATTTCCTGCCACCGTGTGACATCATCTGCAGACGTCGAGCTACAGATGTTGGCATCTGTGCCTGTTTGGATTGCCGTGAACATAATCCCAAGCAGGAAGAGAAAATAAATTCCCAAGTGTTTATGAGAACAGTTTCAATAGCTGCATCACTGCAGCTTGTTATTGTTCTCCTGTCTAAAAGCTTGTTATCAGGAGGAACTGTCTGTCAGAAGGTACAATATAAAACAGGCTCGCTGCTATTGAAATCCCTGAATGCAGAGAGCTCCTGTGACATGAATTAAGATCTTCCTTCTCTGCTTTTCAGTCAGAGCTCAGTCAGCGTTCCCAGGAGGACTATGAAACCTCAAGTGCAGGAGGGTATATACCCACCTAAAGAGGGGTTTTTCATTCCTCTAACCCTTAAACATAGGCTGACATAAACTTTTATTGCTCAGCAGCTTAGCAGAATACTAAGTACACTGAAAAACCAAAAGAGATAAAACAATAGCACACAACGAGAGTTTCACTCGTGCATTTCAGAGAATGCACCTGAGCCCATTTTCAGTCATTTATCTGATTACTCTAATTGTTTTACAAGCATATACAAAGCCACTAACTCAGCTGTACTAATACCTTCATTGTATGACTTCTGTCTGTAATACAAAGGTTTAGCATTAGTCAGTTTAAGTGATTCACAAAACCTCTTTATTATACCTAGGAGCCAAATATGAAGTGCTGATAACTTTAAAACACTTGCACCTGAAATACTTTTAAAGGGACACTTTGCAACTGTGCTACAATGTCCCTTTACAGAGTTAATGAAAGGCCACCCAGCCCCTATCACCCCCTGTGTCCAGAATATTCAACATGCAACTTCAGACTGGCGGGCGGCTTTATTGAGCTGATGTACCCGTCAATGCATTCTGGTTCCAGCACGTTTTCTGTGTGTTTTAGATCATGAAAAAAGCTGTTTAATGTAGCAATGATTCACTCCTGTAGACACCACGAAAGGCTGGGAAGACATTTAAGCTTTTGTTAAAGTGTTAAAAAGACAAATGCACAGCAAGGAAATGAGTTTTGCTTTCAAATCTAAAGAGACACCAGGGGGTGCTAAAAACAGGCCAAACTGCCTAGTTCCCTTTTAAAAACGTTTTCCTTGTGAATGTCTTCATCTAAAACAGGGGTGGAGAACCCTGGTCCACGGAGGGCCTCTAACCAGCATATTTTAGTTTCAACCCTGCTTCAACACACCTGATTTCACTCAGCAGGTGATTAACAGGCTTCTGCAGAGCCTGATGAGCTGCTGAACAGGTGAATCAACCTCCCTAGTCAGAAGTGTTGGAGCAAAGATGTGCAGGATTCCAGCCCTTGAGGACCAGGGTTCCCCACACCTGATCTAAAATAATCCCAAAAATACCTAATTTTATAAACACGCAAATCAAATCTAAAGGTCTTTTGATTAAACCATCCCCTTTTCTGTCTCAAAAAATCGAAGTTATTCCAATCTTTTCAATAATTTATTACCAACAAACAACGTCTCATTCCATTAACACCCAATGTCTTTTATTTGATAGTCTATTTCTACGTTTCAAAAACTTCTGCCTTTCTAACAGAATTAGTACTTTCCTAAAAAAACTGCTACATGTTCAATTTGGCATGTCTTCTAAGTACTGCAGGTGAAAGCTGCCAATTATTTCTTTGTATTGTTTTTGTATTTTGTGTTGTTAGACAATTACATTTATAAAAACTGCCTAATAAATATTTCATTTTGACATATTATTTGTGGTTCATATGTCATGTTTCAGGCTTTAATTGTTAGTTTTTACAAACATTTGAAACACTAATTCACAGAATGCAAAAATATAGCATTTAGTCATGATAAAGAGAGTTTGCAGTATCCCAGACACTTTGGTTAATAAGTAATAGTATAATTAAGGACCCAACCAGTTTAATCTCTCTATAAGATTATAATGCTGATAACAGGACGCATATAATACAGAAGAGGAGTAGGCCTCTGAAAAAAATAAAAAATAAAGATTTCTGACTTTTTCTAGGACTACTCACTTTTTTCCTCAGAATTCTTACTTTCGGACATTTTCTCTTCTGGTTTCGCATCTTTCTCAGAAATCAAAAAGTCTGAATTGATTATTTTCGTTTCTCCTTTCAGTGGCCCTAATCCTCCTCAGTAGGATGAAGGTGAATTTAAAGCAACAACTAAATAAGATAAAGTATAAAACCTGGACAAAAGGGTTCGTTATGAACAGATTTACATTGTGTGTGTGTGTGTGTGTGTGTGTGTGTGTGTGTGTGTGTGTGTGTGTGTGTGTGTGTGTGTGTGTGTGTGTGTGTGTGTGTGTGTGTGTGTGTGTGTGTGTGTGTGTGTGTGTAAAGTCCCAGCCCGTATTTTAGTTCTCGCCTGAGCATAAGAACAGCCAGGATCCGAGCAAAGATCCACACCCTGTTTTCCGGGGAGCCGCCGGAGATCCAGCCCTTCAGCACGCTGTTCTCTTACGTCCCGGCCGTGAGCAGTGAGCTGGCCACGGCACAGATTTCTCCTTCTGCTCGGATCTAATCTTTTTTTTATTACTCTAACAGAGCTCATTCTCTCATTTTGCGCACTGACGCAGGCTTCAGAGTACTCTGCAGCCCCCCAGCCGGTGCGCAACAGCGCACAAACCATTTTGCGGCTTCTTCTCCGTCTGTGGCAATGGATTGATTTCGGTGTGTGTGTGTGTGTGTGTGTGTGTGTGTGTTTTCTAACCTCTGCTTCGACCAAGTTGTGAAACAGTCCGTAACCTGCGGCTCTCTTCTCACAGCTGCATGTTCCATCCGGCCACTTTCCAAACTACCTGGATCCGGATGTTTCTGCACATTTTAGGACTTTGAACTTTTTTTTTTTTTACATTCTTGGTGCATTTGGAGGAGGTGGGCGGAGGGATTTTAAGGATTTTACAATATTATTTTTTTAACAGCTTCTTCGTGGTTCTTAAAGCCTGCAAAGATTTCTTGGTGAAAAGTGATGGCCGAGCGGGGAGCTCTGTCGCTCCTCTCTCTTCTGGTTCTCACCTTTCTCTGCTCGGAGACCACCACGGCAAAGCATGTCGGCAAAGGTAAAGGAAAAAAAATACGCTCTGGGTCTGCCTGCTTCTTTACGCCTCGATTTAACAAGTTTCCTTGTTTGGATGAAGAGTTTAGCTGTAAACAGAGAACAAAACGCAGGCGAGGTCAGCGCTCATTTAGATAAGTTTAAAAGTAGTTTTCCACCTCAGACCTCAGACCAGCCCTGTTTGAAGCAACAAGCTTCCACTCAGTCCTTTTGTCTGGTGAGGAGCAGCGGGGCCAGAACAGAACAGCTCTTGGATTTGAATCACGGGCATGTGGTGTTGCTGCACGATATTAGAAATATTGCGACATTATCGATTAATATCGCGATGATTAAATAAATTGTGATAAATCCACGTTCTGGCGCAACAATGCTATGTGCTGGTTGTTGACGTCCATAATACCAAATGTATATTTTGAATGCAGTTCGAGCCAGGTTAGTTCAAGCCTTTGTGCACATTGCAACACATTTTTATCATATTGTGCTGCTTTATTTTTAATAAATGTATCCTGGTCATGTGCCACAACTAAAGAACCCACTAATTAATAAATTTGCTTTCTGAACTGAGCTATTGTGTGAAAGGGATAAACTGTGGTCCTAAGAGGATGTTTTGAATCAGTAACAAATGCTCAAAGTAAAAAGTCATTATTGATCAGATAATCAGCTTGCATCATCAGTCCGGCAGACATCTCATTACCTGGGCGTCAATACATGTTCAGCAAATGGATAAACAGAGCATGATTCATTTGCTTTTGTTAATTGTTTTGAGTCGTATTTTCACTGTACATATAATAATGTGTTTCTGCAAACCCAACCAGCCTTTTCAGTTTCAGATAAATTGCACCATCACACGCCCTCTCTTTCTTTGCAAAGTCATAACTTCAGTTGAACTAGAAGGCACAATCAGACACAGCAGCAGCAGCATGTGGTCTGGTAAATTTCTGTGACTGTTGTGCGACATGACCCAGATTCTTCTCCTTATTCTTGTGAAAAACAGTTGCAGTGTCATATATTAAAGTAAGAATCTTTGAAAGAGTGTTTTTGATAGTTTTATGGAGAAAGAAAAGAAAAGAAAGCCCAGCTTTTGGTGTGATGGACCTTTGGTAGCTGCTGGGCTCTCTTTGCGTGTGGAGTTTGATGAAAGACCCTCTCCTGAATGAAAAGCACTCTGCAGTAGTGGGAGAGATGGAGAGAGAGGGAGAGAGGAGAAAAAAAGCCCCTCCTAGGTTTTGGTGGAGATCAGTACAAAAGAGAAATGGGGGTAGGGTGAAACAGGCTGACTGTCTGGAAAGTAATAAAACCAGGAGATTAAGGGGTCCGGGGAGTTCCTTTGGGAGCTTTGATTGATTCCAGAGAATTGGACCGGGACCCACACGCAGAGAGTCTCACATTACTAATTGTGGGGTCCCCCTTCTCTGAAAATATCTGTCTATTCAAAACGTATATTTCCTGAGGTAATGACTGTGGCCAGAGCTTCTCGCTCTCAAAGTTGGCAGATCTGTGGCTCAAAGAACTCACTGTCTTGCTTGTTAGGGACCCAAAGTCTTTCTTAGCTCGGCCCCCTCTGACTGCACACACTGATTCAAATTGCTGCTACCTTCTCCCCCGGCAGCTTCTAAGAGTTGTTTGGCTTTTTAAAAAGCCTCAATAAGTTAGGTTTTTGTAAACAAGTCCCAGTCAGAGTATAAAATCCATTTAGACACTATCTTATCTCTGTTACCCTCCTGGGAGGCAATTGTGTGCTGATTGTCTCTCTGTGGATAGTGCAAATATCTTGCTGAAATGTGCAAACATCTGGCAATCCCCCGCTCTTACAGTCCAGAGTCTTATCCTCGCAGACCACCTCGGATGCAACATGGCAAAGGTTTTTCAAACAACCGTCGTTTTCTTTGGTTCATTTAAAGTCTTTTCCATAGACTACTTTGCTCTTAAGAACATAATTTCCCACCTTTGTGGCAGTGTTTGGAGAGCTCTGGTGGTCCTGCATTCCAGTTTCTAAGGAAAACACGAGGAGGCTTAAAAGTTGGTCTTAACCCTCGTCCTTCATTCACGGTCTAATCTATAAGCACAGTGTATTTAAAGGGTTATTTAACCTTTTATATTAATGACTTTGGAACTCAACCTTTTGCACAAAATAGAGTGATCTTTGTCGGTAGTTGATGGGTTTGTGGGGAACAACATGCAGGCATTGGAAGCTGTCTCTACTATGTTGAGTGTGCTATTTACTTATCATGTATTTATGGCCTCATGAGGTCCTAATGACCCCTGTCCATGAAGAGATGGATAATTGCGCACTTGGCAAAGTATTTGATTCATCTGGCTCACTAATGAACCCAGCCCATTAGGGTATGGTGCTCATCTCCTGTTGCTGCCGATGTGGGCACTCAGTTTGTTGCTGCTTAGTGTTCTGAGGTGAAGTCAGCAGTTTAAGCTCACGACTTACTTGTGTTTTCTTTTCTTTCCACAGTTTAGTGCAGTCCTGAAATGAAAGCAATAGGGTTGGGTGACATGGCAAAAATGTCATATCCCGATTTAGCTCATTGTATATCCTGAAAACGATATACATAACGATATAGCTTTATTTCTTTTAATTCTGTTCATAGTTCGTATCTTGGTTCGAGTGTTTGCACTAACTCACAAAACCCACGTTTCTCGACCGTGAAGATTGGAACCAAATCTTTGCAAATGCGCTTGGAACTGCAGTGGTGATCTCCTTCCATCTGCAAGAGCTGTGGTTATATGGCGTGCCACAGGTAAACGCCTGTTGCAGCGTCTATGTCTGCAGTTTGTTATGACCGTTTACGACTTGTTGAGTCTGTATTCCTTTTCAAGATTCTTGCATTGGTGATAAAATTAATTTGTAGTGTTGGAGTCTGTTGTTGGCACAGAGAGCCAGCAAACAACTGGTGTGTGTGTGTGTGTGTGTGTGTGTGTGTGTGTGTGTGTGTGTGTGTGTGCATATATATACACACACACACACACACACACACACACACACACACACACACACACATATACATATATATATATATATATATATTAAGGATGTGAATCTTAGAACAACTCACAATTTGATTCGATTTCGATTCTTGGGGTGCCAATTCGATTCAGAATCAATTCTCGATTCTCAATTTAAATCGATTCACAATCAGTATTAACAGTAGTTACAATAGTTAAAGCTATGGGACATTTTTATTTGACTTTAAACTGGTCATGCACCAAAAATGCAAATGCTAATAAAGTGATTCTAAAACTGTAAACGGAAGCAATCTTTTGACCAAAAGGCAACATTTATTTTTAATTCCATGCTTTCATTCTTTTTAAACACAGAAACAGTTTTGTTTACCTGTTTTGTAGCTACAGTTTCGCAAACGGCTGCCGGCTTCTTCAGGCTGACGCTGATGGTGGCGCGTCACTTCCTTCTCCGTTTATCTGCGGGCAGTAGAGGGCGACAACGTCCTCTGCTGATCCCTAACCTAATTTTATTATATATATATATATATATAACTACATTATTAATGTCAGATATCGGTGCATCCCTGGTTTTCCTGTTTTCTGAAAGCTCATATCATGTTGTGATGTTGTGAGCTGCTCACATCAGGACTTCTTTTCCTAAAAACTGAACTTCAAGGAAGCTCCTGCTGAGCTGAAAAACACATTTCAAGCTCCGTTTTCTGACCTTTCATGTTTAGAAAAAGAAACTTGCTTGGACTTTGAAACGGTTGAATGGTGTCACTGTCTAGAGACCATTAAGTTGTCCAAACTGCCCTGTGTGTGATGATTCCTGGGATTCTTTGGTTTCCTGAGATGTTGCTGGAAATGCTGTTCACCTCACATTTCCTTTTACATTTTGTTTAGTAGAAACAAAACAAAATGCATAATTAAGTAACCAAGTCACCGAGGTGTTTTGTGCTCTCAAGGCTTTCCTGCTCTGCTGTGATTGTGATGCTCAGGTTTAATAACCTTTGGGAGAGCTGTTTGCAGTTTCCTTCAGGCTGACACACACACTGCAGCATAGCACACAAGGATGAGGCTGGAGTTATGGCTACATGTCAATAAGAGTCTAGTTTGTAATGTCTGTCAGTATCCTCCTGTGCACTTAAGCTATTAGGCGAATTGTGTCACATACAGGAGATCTAAAACAGTCACCCTCCCAGGCCTACAGTTTAATCTTACAGTCACAAGTACTGAGTCCTATGCTCAGTGAGGCTGCAGTTAGTTTGATGAATTTTCTTGAGTGCAGCCTAGTTTCTGTGTTTTGTAAATCTTTTAAACATCTAAAGCAGACGGCAGAACTTCACCAGCATAATCTCAAAGAAAAGATTACATCTTTTCTGTTTTGGCCAAACGCTGTTGCACACTTTCCTTGAACTGGGAGTTTATCCCAAGCAAAAGTTGTTTACATAAAATAATGTGTTATCATCTTGGAGATACAATCAGCTCTTGTATGCACCAATGCCTCTAGCAGAGCTCCACACAGAGTGAGTGGAGGCTGCCTGAAGAGCGAATGATTCTTCTGTTTAGGCTCGTTCTGTGATACTTCTATTGTGCTACGCTGTCATCAGAGTGGGTCATGTTCTTGAGGTCAGTTTGGCATTGTCCAGGCTTTCAGAAAAATTGCAGGGATAAATGATTTGTGATTATAACAGCTGTATTGCAGCAGAAAATGATAGGGAGTGTGTTGGTGGTAAGTAGTTTAAAAGTAAATAATGTTTAATCTTAAAGGGATGCTAGGCAACTTTTTCAAAAATTAAAATAATTTTCTTGAGCCATTATGCGCTAAAACGATTGTTTACAAGGTTACTGAGATGTCACTCAGACCCCCACCGCCCTCTGTGACTGGAATATTGTACTTGCAACTTCAGAGTAGCCAAAATACTTGGTTCTGCAGTCTGCTTCCAGCATGTTTCCTGCATGTGTTAGATCATGAACACAGCTGATTTGTTTATATTAGTGATGAAACACTCCTATAGATGCTAATGAAGACTGGGGAGATGTTTTAGCTGT